AAATAATAATAAGGATTCAACAGTGTTTGTGGTTGTATTATTTGACGCATAAATTATGATATTGTGTTGTGACTTAAATATATCCATGTGTGTGTGTGTGTGTGTGTGTGTGTGTGTGTGTGTGTGTGTGTGTGTGTGTGTGTGTGTGTGTGTGTGTGTGGGTCTGTGTGTGCATGTGTGTGTCTGTGTGTGTGCGTGCGTGTGCGTGTGTGTGTGTGTGTGGAGTCTGACGCAGTGTTGGAAAGTTGTGTGGTTGTGCCATACAGGTGTAAAGAAGCAGATAAAAAGAGGAAAGGAAAATACAGAAACAGGTTAAAAAAGAAGAAAGAACTAAAAAGAAAAGGTGATGGGGTGTGAGGTGATGATGAACAGGTGAACTCATCATCTAAAACACGGATCTAGCAGCTGTTTATTACTGACGTGCTCAAACCCAGTGAATCTGATAAGAAAAATAAAGGTCTGACCTGATGTTGGGCTAATACAGCCAGTCTGTCACTCCTCGCTCCTTGTAAAGTTTATTATCCACATAAAGCTTATCCACTGAGATGACAGCTCTCTTCCCATCTTGGATAAACTTTTTACGCAGCGGAAAGAGAACTCTGCGCCGATCCAGGATTTCCTTAGGAAACTGGTCATTAACGCTGAAGTCTTTGCCTTTGAGCTCTCTTCCGTGACTTTTAACCAGATCCTGGAGGGAGAGAGATGCGCATGCGCTGACGGCCGATTACCGGACACAGCAGCGTTTGAAGCTGATGGCAGCTCGTTAGCAAACATTCACAAACAATTCAGATGCATTTTTGCCTAATTTAAAAACTGACAACGCAAAAAAATAATCTGGTAAGTATAACTCGCTCAATCTGGAGGTAAGTGAAGAAAATTTAGAAAGTTTACAGAACTTTATTGACGGAGTTTTCGAGTTATTTGTTATGGGTCCGAAGAAATCAGCAGGTGAACCTGAAACACCTGGGACGAAGCGGAGCCGTCCTCAGGACTCGCCTGAGGCCTCATCTCCCCGGAAGGACATATTGGAATTATTAGAATCCATAGATAAACGGCTTCTGGGATTTGAGGGGCGTCTTCATCTGCTTGAGGTTCTGCACCAGGAGTTTCAGAACCTCCGCCAGTCCCTGGAATTCAGCCAGGAGCAGGTGGAGCGGCTCGCTGCTGAGAACGCGTCTCTGCGGGAGTCCGTTTCTTCCCTTGAGGAGGGAATGACGCGGATCACCCAGGACAACAAAACTCTGAAGGAGACGGTTTTGGACCTTCAGGCCCGTAGCATGAGGGATAATTTGGTGTTTGCAGGTCTGTCGGAGGAGGTGGGAGGGGCCGAGGACTGCGAACGCACTGTTAAACACTTTCTCCAGACCCAAATGAAGATACCCGAAGAAACGGTAAAAAACATCACCTTCGACCGAGTACATCGCCTTGGAGCTAAAAGAGGGGACAGCACACTCTGTGGACAGAACTGTTTACCCGGTGGATTTTTGAATAAAAGGTTAAAAATTGTTTAAATGGGACCCGAAGAAGTTCTTGAGGACGCCAAACGGAAAAGACGCTAAGAGACGAAGGTAAGCAATACAGTTTATTTTCCTGACATCAGTGTTTTGTCGTAGTCGCGCGTTTCTGTCATTTACTTTTAAGTTCCTAACTGAGTCTATCCACAGTTAATACTGATTTGTTTTTCCTGTGTAACATTAACTGTAAAATAAAAATGAAGTTGCTGCATTTTAAGCCTTAGACACGTTGAGATTAGATCACAGTATTCATTTATCTATGACTTTCTCGCAGCACTGACTGGAAGCATCAGCGGGACGTTTAGTCCTTTTTTACCGCTGTTAGTAAAGAACAGCGTAGACAGAGAGAGGATGAAAGTCACGAGGGAACTGAGAAGCAGGATGAAAGAGAGAAGGAGGAGTTGGTTGGAGAGGAACCAGAGAGGTCAGAGACTGTCCACCCTGAGAGTGAGGAGGAGGAAGATGTAGGCTGTGAGGGAGAGAGTGAGGAGCAAAAAGAGGGACATCTTCTGTCATGTGCACCGTGTACACTACCGTCAGGTTTGTGGGTGTTGAACAAGCCCTCTGTGTTTGCAGCTCATGTGTGTAAAATGCATTTGAGGCATGCTGACTCTGGACCAACATTTCTGTTGTTTATATTTAATAAATAAATAAAATAAGACTCTGAATTAACTAATTATGACTTTTATCCTCATGCTAACATTTATTTTCTTTCAGATATCAGCAAGTGCAAGGATGACCCACCTACTCAGCCTAGTTTGAGGACATTTCCAGTGACATTAATAGGAGACAGAAGATGCAGCTTTCAGCCAAGCTGGTATGAAAGTAATCCTTGGGTTGAATATTCTGTTACTATGGACTCTACTTATTGTCATGCATGCAGACATTTTAGCCCACCCAGTAGCGCAGGAAGTGTGTTTGACTCACCATGTGGATTTAGAAACTGGAAAAAAGCAACTGAGAGAGGAGGGGTTTTCAGTACATGCAAAGTCTGAAAGGCATAAGGACTCAATGATAGCGTGGAGGGACTACCAGAGGGCTGTGAAAGCTAATACAACATTGGCTAATATACTCGACAAGGAACACAGTAAAAAGGTTATAGAAAATCGTGAGTTTATCAAACAATTGGTGAAGTGATTATGCTTACGTGTGTGTGTGTGTGTGTGTGTGTGTGTGTGTGTGTGTGTGTGTTGACTACAAAAAGCAAATTGTATTGTGCACATATTTTATTTGTTTGAATGTTTATTTTTCATATGTACAGTTTATATAATCTTCAAATAAAGTCACAAACTATAATAATAAACTAGAATTATTTTTTACTCAAGTCACATGTTGCGGTGAAGCATTCAGAATTGTTATCTGAGTACCATAAAAACATGCCAGTTTTACTTTCACAAGTAAACCATTACTGCATTCACTGTAATAGTTTACTTGTTCATTGTCTTTAATTATGATTTTTTTTTCTTGCGCCCCCATGAAAAAATACTGGCCCCACTGTGGCCCCCCTGGAAAATTTGGTCTAGAACTGCCCCTGGTGTAACCCAAGGGGAACGAGCAGAATTTACCCAAACCACGAAGGCTGCCATGGAGAGAACCAACGCCACCCCCGCACAACGTTAGACGGAGAAGGAGAACTTTCATGTCAAAGCGCTGAGCATTGTGTCTTATTTCAAGATATTTCAAGATGGTGCAAAAAAAAAAAAAAAAAAGAAAGTAAAATTTCAAGCTAATAGAAATATTTATTAAACGGGACTGGTGTGTGAACCGATACATAGAACACTACTACTACTACTACTACTACTACTACTACTACTACTACTCAATAGTAAAAAAGTAAAGATTTAGCACACTGAGCCTGTAAACCATTCACGAGCCAGACGGGAGGTAAGACGTGGTTCAGCATTAGTGAGTTTTAATGAAATTATTCTCATTTAATAATCAGTTCTACTATTGGAGAATCATCGCACATCTGACTTGTGGTGTGAGAAAATGTCTCAGGGGGTAGAAGTCGTGAAAGGTTGGGAAACACTGACCTATTCAACCCTGTTACTTGGTATATTTTCATATATTCTCTGATAATGCTAACAAATTAGTTAAATATCTATTGATCTGCATACCAAGTTTAGGTGATAAAATAGACAAAAAACCTAAACTAATGTTCATGTTTAAACATATTTCCCTAATTCATGAAGACCATTTTTTGTAGTAAGCTGCCAAAATCTGCATATTTAGCACAAAAGCAATGTAATGGTACAAAAATATATGAGTGCTTAGTGAGGGATGAAGTATAAAACATTGCCAGCATTTTAATCAGAATGTTAAAAATGCTTTTACACTAGTGTGTGTGTGTGTGTGCGCGCGCGTGTGCCGCTCCCTCTTGATGACTGCTCAGTGGTCATTAGGTCAGTCTGCCTCACAAATGACCTGGAGCCACAGCCTCCACCCCCGTCCCAACACACACGCACGCACACACAAACACACACCCTGCTGAGGACAGCCAGCTGCTAGTAGCAGCACATTGATCACCACCTCTCCTCCCTTGACCTTCCACCGACCATCCCCCTCTCTTCTTCTCTGACTTCATCACTTCCTCCTCCTCCTGCTGTTCCACCTTTTCTTCTGTCCGTGGCCCATCCCCCGATCTTCTCCTTGTGTTTTCCCCGGAGGCTGCAGATGTACCTTCTTCCTCCCTCTGCTCCCATCACCTGCATTAAGCCTGTGTAACAGCTGGGTTGTGATTACTCAGCCGAGACCCTGACTCTGCCCATCACACTCAGCAGAGGAGATTACTATTTCTCACCCAACACATCCTGCTTTTACAGCAACCGTTTCTCGTTTCTCATTAGTCACACACAGAAGCTGCTTGTGCTATACTATTTGACATGCAGGGAAGTCGGACCCCAGGCGTGTCGGGGTGGATCCCCTGAGGTAAATACCCTCAGGGTAGAGTCAGGGATTCGGCCCTCCTGATTGGAGCACACGTGACTATCTGCTCCTACTGTCAGTCATCAGTCTTCACTCTGAACATGCAGCTGTAACTGCACATGAAAACATGGCACCCAGGTAAACCGTGATGCTGACAGACGCTGACTGTGTCTGTAGGTGACTTGATTCTTGTTAGTACACACCACTCCTTTATGTCCAATTATCCACATGCAAATCTTTTCCTTTCTGATGTCAGCCTCGTTTTGGATTTCATTTTAATTTATATCATTTTATTTTTCTCATTTTATGAGCATTATTGTGAGCACCTTGAGGTAGGCCTTGTGATACCTTTGTGCCTACAGCATGTCCTGTTGTTGTAAATTGACAATAAAGCTTTCTAATTCTAATCCAAATACTAATTCTATATAACTATTGGGCCAAATGGGGCAGAAGATTTACAGGAAAGGCCAACTGGCCCCTCTACCAGTGTCTGACTGACTGGTCAGCTTCCATCAGAATCTCTCACAAAGTGGAAGAATTGTATCTTTATGTTTCTAATACCTCGTCACACGGAGCTATCCGGTGGATGAAGTCTTTCAGGTGTCCAACCATCGTCTCGTCCCTGAAATCTGTTGGGAATGTTTCCGTCCATTCTGTGAGCAGCTGCAGGATCTTGGGACCAAATTTGCGCACTTTAGCCTGTTAGTGAACAAATAAATCAGGTGAACAACTTCCTGTACTTGTAGTACAAAAAAGGGGTGATTTCTTAGATGCAGAACACAACGACTGAATGCTTCCAGCTCATTAACTGGTCTGTGCACGCGCCGGAACGTGGCTTCGTGTGTGGTGCTGACCGTGTCCAGTGGGCTCTGATCCAGCTGCTGCTGTTTGATGCACAGCTCACACACTCTGGAAAGCAGCTCCGGAGGAGGAATGAACAGACGGGCGCTCAGCAAAAAGGTAAACACGTAGGCTTTCTGTCAGAGGTCAGAAGGGGACATTTAGTATGGTGTTCCCACTACAGCTACCCAAAAATACCTGTAATTAAGAAGAAACACTTGAATAAAAGACCTGATGCTGCTTAGATCAGATTCAATGAGGTCTTTATGATTTTCTCATACAGATTATTTTCTGCAAAATCAATGTGACTTTTGAAACAGAAGTTTCCACACCCAACTGGAAAAGGACTAAATCCAGATTAGCTGAAGAAGAGACGTTGAAAGGTGCAATATGTAAGAATGAAGTAAGAATGACATCCTGTGGTCATATTTGGGTACTGCAATCCATTTTCCTAAATAATAACGTACTATCTCACTACCATTCCAGAGTTTCATGGCTGTTGCCAGTAAGAGTAAGAGGAAATTTGAAAAATGATTAGGAACAAGTAACAGTTTCATCTCTCGATCACTAAAGAAGACGTGTAAATAAAGTTTATAGCTGAGGAGGAAACAGTGAAAAAGCCGCACGTTTCAGATGACATGAACAGAAACTACAGATGGAGTGATGGGACTCAGAGGAGTGGTTAACGGTGTTTGGTTTGATCGTGGACGTTTTACAGAGACACAGTGTCTGTTAATCTGAAATGATCAGCTGTGAGTTTCGTCGTTGTCCAGAGGAAAGTTCAGACAGAGTTCACCTGCTGTGTCATCTGTTAGCCATGCATGTCATATCATCAGCTCAACTGTTGCCAGGCAACGAACACCCAAACAATATGCAGGAACATTTCTAGAGATGCCAGTCAGTCCCTTTAGTTTTTTTTCTACTGGTTTGATTTTATTTACTCATCTTCAGTCATCCTTCTTCCTTTCTGGGATGATTAAAGCATTTGTGAGTTTTTGTAGGTAGCGATGTCACTTTACCTCAGGGTAGTAATCTGCAGTGGGCACCAAGTTCTGGATCAGAGTGTCCAAGGAGGCAGAAGTGATGGGAGGTCCGTCGGCCAGACAGGCCCCAGGCCCCGGGCCTTCCTGTGGGGTCTCCTCATCCTCCCCAGGCTCAGCACAGGCCAGATGAGGGCTGAAGCCACTGGGAGTGGTAAACATGGTGCCTGAGCACACAGTCTGGGGCATTCCTGACTACAACATAAACACAGAAAACACTGTAAACAGGACAGAACCAGGAAGAGGATTCAGGTTTGTTCGGGAAATGAGCTTAATGCAAGTGTAGTTCCGGTCAGGTTTTTCCCAGATCTACTTTCCTAGTTTGGGCCATGTAGGATAAATAAATGCTTATTTGTCATTATTAAACCTCTTTGTACAGAATTAATTACTTCTCTCCTTTTTACAAAAAATGTTCCCCAAGTAGTTAATGAAGGCATAATTTAAATGGTTCCTGCTACTCTCCTGTTGCGTGTGTTCTCTAACATCTGCAGGTTTTATTTCTATATTCATGTACCTGATGCACCACCCCACCCCCAGAAACCGGCCCCCTTCGGTCCTCTACCTCCACCAGCACAATGAAAGTGGGTCACAGTCGCCGTGGAGATTGATGCACTTGTGTGTCCTCTAACACTGCAACACTTTGGGTTACACATGTAAAATAACAGCCACCACGCTTTAATCAATACAGAAACGGTGACTTTGGTTGCAGTCACCTTTTATGTAGCTGCTTTAAAAGCAAAAAAATGATCATTTTTGACAATAAAAAAAAAACTTTAAATAAAAAAAATCTCTTCTATTCTTCCCCTCTTGAATAAAACAGACAGCTGCTTCTGTGATTTTTTTCAACCTGCAGGAGTCAGTAGGAAGTCTGTGCCGGGGGCCTTGAGCCACCTTTTCAGTGGTAAACTGAATATTTTTTGTAACAACAAGGGCTGGTTTGAATTGCATGCAAATACTCTGAAATTGCATTGAAATACGATACGAAAGTGCTGTGAAAACAATGTGGCAATTGCTAGAACACTCCAGGCTTACTTTCACCTCCAGCAGTCTTCAATGAAGCATTACTGTGGGCTCCCACAGGTCAAAGGTCAATCACATGCAGGCTCATGTTTATGATTTTCTCAGTGAAGGATTCATCCATCCTTTGTTCCTCTACATTTGAGCACTTATTCATGCACTTGTGCACACCTAGACATAAAACCAAGCTGACAGGCAAACAAAAGGCCGGGGGAGGGGGTTACGTGAGCTGTTCTTATGGCCTTCCTGCCTACTGACTGACATGACTGTCATGTTTCTCATAATGTCTGCTGTGGTTAAAGTCGCATGGGGGATTAGCTCCAATTTTCTCTGCCGTTTGGTGAGAATTAACAGCTGACTATGGAGGCTCGTCTGCATTAGATGGCGTATGTTTGAACTGCTTTTAAAGGAAAATGCACCATCAAAGAAGAGTGAACGTTAAAACTTCTTAAATTACTCCTAGTGCAGCATATATGCTGTTCTCCACTCATAAAAGTCCCAGCTGCTGTCCAAATTCAATTCCAAAACAGCTAGGTCCTGGCTTGTCCTTGCAGCAACCTCTGCTTGATTTGATTACAACATGCAGACAAAGCGTGATGAACACTAGAACAGTCTAATTCAACACGTCTTTCTGGGAACTGTAGCTCAAGTCGCGTGAGGAACTTCTTCCAAGAAAACCTTTGGGATGCCAACTTGGCTACAGCTGAGAAATCCTGTTTCTATAAATCTCCACAGCAATCAGGGACGTACCTTGAAATCTTCAATAAAACACCTGCATTTTGATATATAACTGCATAAAAGCTGTAAAAAAACAGATTAAATGAAAGGTTAAAGCTGCAGTCAGTGGCTCATTAAGGTCACCATGGTAACCCCACACCTGTAAGAGACATGCTCAGACACACAGAAGAAAAGGAAAGTGAGCCTTAAACAAGCTGTGAAAAAAAAGTTTGACAAATAAATTCTTTAAATGTTCAAAGAGTGGCCCGGGGGCCATCTGCGGCTCTTAGGGGTGATTCTGTGCATCTGAACGATGAGTTTTCTCTCTCCAGCAGGCTGTTAATGTAAAGCAGAGCTATTCATATCCAGCACGTTTTTGTGGTTTCTCTGCTCCAACACACTTGTTTCAGTGGTTGAATCACCTGTGCAGCAGCTCACCAGGCACTGCAGAAGCCTGTTAATCCATCCATCCATCCATCCATCCATCTTCTTCCGCTTATCAGGAGTCGGGTCGAGACGCCCAGACTTCCCTCTCCCCAGCCACTTGGGCCTGCTCTTCAGGGGGAATCCCAAGGCGTTCCCTGGCCAGGTGAGGGACATAGTCCCTCCAACTTGTCCTGGGTCTCCCTTTAGGCCTCCTCCCCGTTGGACGTGCCCAGAAAACCTGTTAATCACCTACTAATTGAAATCAGGTGCGTTGAAGCAGGGTTAAAACCAAAACATGCTGGATACTGCCCCTCCAGGCCCACAATTAAATAGCCTTGATGTAGAGTGATGCTTTCTAACACTTTTAGGTTCAAATTTTCACTATGTTGGACCTATTTAAGGAGTAGAAAAGAAAAATTAGTCGTGCTTTTAAAATGTTCACTGAGTGACCGTGTAATACCAGTCCTTTTACGATTGGTCACTCTGAGTTGCATTTGCATGCTGAATGTGAAAAACTTCTTCTGCCCACATTGTCTGCATTATGGGCTTGACACACGGGAGGCGACAAACGACCGCGATCAGCGAAATTTGTCGCTGTCGCTTTTATTACCTGTCACACGGGAGGCGATCTGCGGCAGCGGCCAGCGGCAAAGCCGTCTACGCGTTCTGTTCCATGGCGAAATCGAAACTTCCGTTGTTTTGTTTGGCTGTGTTAGGTTCGAGGGAATTAAGGTTATTTAAGCGGTTCAGAGTTAAAAAAGTGGTAGATATGATGTTTCACAAGGTGCTGCTAGAGTTATGTGAAATCTTACTTCTGATTTTACTATATAAAACATAATAATAATCAACTTCTCCTCCATGTTTGCTCGGAGATGTGCGGAGCATCCTGTCCGCTCATTGGTCAGTGAATGAAACCTCCGTTGGTTGGTCCTCGTCCGAGCGACAGCGATGAAAAGTTGAAAATGTTTCAACTTTCTGGGATCGCGTCGCTGGGTCGTACGTGCACGACACGTGCACGTGTGCAAAATTTCACACGCACGTTTTTCGCATTTCGCTTTGTAGGAGAGAGACCCGCGATTATCGCTTTGTCGCGCATGTCTCATTGAAAATGAATGGAGGAGAGGCGATGTCGCCTCCCGTGTGTCGAGCCCATTAGCTGCAGAAGGGAAATAAACAGTAAAACAATCTGGTCAGAAAAAGCATTGAATATAATGAATATAAATGAGTAAGACTTGTAATCATGTTGTTTTCCGCTACCCACCGCTCTGATAAACTTCTACCCCCTGAATCAGGAGCACCAGAGTGTTTTTACACAGAAAATGACTTGGAAGACATTCATTCATACCAGAGATGAGTTGGAAAAAATATCGGTTGTTAATATTGACCCAGTTTTATTTATTGAACCGATACAGAAATGTTTTAAAATGACTAACATTAGCCAATACTGATATATTGTCCATCCCTAGCACAGGGTATCTGCAGGTTTAAGGGAGCCAAATTTAAGACTTTTTAAGACCTTTTTTAAGGCCACTTTGACCAAATGTAAGCTATTTTTAAAATTAAATTTAAGCTATAATTTACAGCTATTGCCTGGAACAGGTGCTAACCACATCGCGAACATGGGATTAGTCATCCAGTTACCATTAAACTTGCATTTCCCCATGGCGCAAGCTCCCACTACCTTAACCTGCTAATGTGCTCATCTAAAAATAGCCCCCTTTCACAACCAACTGAATGTGTACGGTTCTGCTTACGCCAACATCGTACACAAAAAATGCTGAACACTAACTAGAAATTCACAAAAATTTTATAGAAATAAAATAATCTTGTTTATTGGGCCTTTGGTAATTTAAGACCTCTGGAAACTGTATTTAAGGATTATTGGTCATTTTTAAGGATTTTTAAGGCCTTAAATCTGGAAAAGCAAATTTAAGACTTTTTAAGACTTTTTAAGGACCCGCAGATACCCTGCTAGCAATAAGAGTTACTACTTTACCACTACTAAAAGAGGAACCTTTTTTCTGCATAAGGACTGACAGAATGATTGCATACTCAGCTAAAGTGGTCTCTGTGTTAACGATCAAACTCTTTATTCATGAGTCGTTTCATGCAAACGCTTCCATCTCATCTCTCTGTCTCCGACTGTATTCATAGGAGTGACTGAGAGTTTAATTCTACGTGATCAAACTGTCAATACGTTCCTTCTTAGCCTGAGATTATCTCCACTCCTCCTGCTCAGCACTCTGATCCTCCCTGATCATTTCTCAGGCTCTGATTCATGATTTCATCACAGCTCGGGTGTTTTGGCTGATATCAGTCAGTGGGATTTAAGGATGTAGACTTCGTTTATTACACCAGTCATCGGATCGGTGCTCGTTTATGACTGATGGTGACTCCGATGCTTCGGACCTCCTAAAACCCAAAAAAACTCGTACGAGACTTATGTCATTTTGCTTTTGAGTTCTTATCTTTTGGTGAATCAAATAAACAAAAGAAATGATGACATAAAATGAAAGCTAAAATACAACGTATTGCTGCCACTTCAGTAGAAACTAGCAAGGCCAGGAGCTGAATGCTGTTTTGATAGCATGGAACACGTTTTCCTGAGTCTTGTAATTTTAAAAGAACTTATTCCAATCAAAACCAAGTTTTCTAAAATTTCAACAACTTTTCAATCTCCAGCAGAAGATCCTTCTGTTCTTAAAAAAAGGACTTCATGGAGAGATCAGTCCTTCTATGAGGCCCCAAACCCAACAGAGATGTTATGATTCAATCAAAAAGTTTCACATCAATTCTTCCTGTTGTAAAAATGTAGTGATGAGTCAGTTTTAGCCTAGAAATCTAGCCAAACCGTAGCAGCAGCAAAAGATTTTGCCCTGCAGGTCGGTCTTTGGGGAGAGGGCGCTCTGAGAAGCTCTAGGCGAAAAAGGGTTAAAAAGGTTCTCAATCACGGTGCAGGTGTGGTGCACAGAGACGTGTTTGTGCTTGTAAAAATCATTTTTTATTTCAACTATCTGTGACAATAAACGGATTGG